CAATAAAAAGAAGAATGTGGGAATTCCTCTACGGGAAGAGGCTCTCCTGCTCGGATTTCCAAAGAGTAAAGGTTTTAGTTTAAAATTCCAAAAAAAGGCGAAAAGCCAAGCCCAAGGAAAAATGAAATATAAATGTCAGGTGCTCAAAGTGCCCCAAGAAAACAGAGGCCAGAGACCTCCTCTTATATTGCCCCACAAAAGAGAGCACACAGTTCCATCCATTCAGAAATGAAATGAATGCAAAAAAAGGTCCAAGAAATTAACATAATTAGAGGAAAATGCAATGCACTCATCGTGGATCGAAGCCCATTCATGGAACAATATGGAGTAAATTATGATGAGCGGGGGGAGCAGGTTTTCGGTTTTCTGTTTGTTGTTTTTGGAACTCACTTTTTCGCTGCGCTCATAGTTCGCTGGGAACTTGGGCGAGGAGCCGCCACCAAAAACCGATGATGGCGATGGCGTTAGCGGCGTGGATGCCGCTGTCGATGCCGATGTCGATGTGGATCTGGAGGGGGACTGCAGCGCCATGCGCTGGTGGTGCAGCGTCGAGAGCGATGGCGTTGACATCGACAGCGATGTTGGGGTCATGATTAAATGCCGCATGATGGTGGGGCAGGGGCAGCAAACACCACGCTGTCTTGTGTGTCGCCTCACTTTTTCACTTAATTTTTTCTCGCACTTTTTCACTAAAATTTTCCACACTTTTCACTTGTTTTTTGTGTATTTGTATTTGTTGCTATTGTGTGTGTGTTTCTTTTTTCTTTTGTGATTTTACATTTTCACAATTACATTGTTTTTTGTGTTTTTGTTTTGGTTAACGATTCGTCACATTCCGTTTTGTGCTGCTGCTCTTTTCTGCTCCTATATTTTATTCATTTTCTCTCTCTCTCTTGTCCTCTTTTTCAGTGTAAATGTCAATTGCTTTTGTGGGGCAAAACATTTTGCTAAAAACAACACACAAATTTTAATAAGCTGCGGGCAATGGCGGGTGCAGAGGGAGGGAGGGTTCTAGGGGGAAGTGGCATTCAACAGCTGCTGCGGCGACTTCTGTGGCGGATGTTGACAGAACAGTCATCGCAAATAGGGTTACGTTCTGAATAACAGAAATAAAACAGTTTGCTATTTGCTATACAATTTCTCTGTTTTTTACTGCTTCAAAGATTCCCCAAAAATTATTTATAAATATTATGTTATGTCCTGCTTCTTTCATTTCATTTTACAAGGTTTTTTTTGCCCCTACACAATTTTCTACATATTTTGTATACTCTATAATATTTACCAAATTTATTATCTTTTCATTTATTTTTCTATAAATATATTTCCGTATACCTCCGACATTTAGTTATTGATATTTGTTCTATACTGCATTTCATTTGCATTTCCACTTTGCCCACTCTCCCTCTCTGTCTTGCTATCTGCCTCTTTCTTCCTTCCCATCCCTCCTCCTCCCCCCTCTCTCCCACTTTTGTCCTCTTTAATTGCCTCGACTTGTTCTGTGTTCTGTATCACCTTTGCCTCTCACAAAACTGCCGTTTCCCCTGTGGGCTTTTCTCTTATCACCTTTTCATACTCTTTCAATTGTTATTCTTTCTGTTTCATTCTGCTCTTGTTGTTGTTTTTTTGCCTTAACTAACATTAATTTTTGTTGTTTTGCCAATGACTTTTTGTTGCTGCTCACGCGAGGTGAATCTTATCAGGTGGAAAGAGCAAAACAAAGTCTACAACTGCAAACATTTATAGTATTTTTTTGTATTTTATTTGTATTTCCCTTTTCTCTCATTCTTTTTTAATTTTCACACAGAATTAATTTTCAATTGACATTTCCATGATGTTTCAAAGTACAAAAAAATACAATTTCGTTTTGGGCTCTTGCTCTTTATCTTCGAAAGTGTTTATTTTTGGGGTTCAGGAGCGGAGCATATCAGAACACCAGACCTCTGATAAGCAGTCGCGGAATACTATCAGAAAAAAACGAGTCGAAAGTAAGATAAATAAATGTTTTGCACGAGTAGACGCCACAGAGGCAAAAAACTATAAAAATAGAGATGTTCTTACGAATTACGAATTGGTACTACTTTAGGGGTAAACAGATGGTTTTAAATAGGTTTATTTTTAGTGGGACTTAAATTAATTATTATATTTCATTTATAGGAATTAATTTGATTAAGAGGATGAAAACATTTATTGCCTTTCCCCTCAATTTTTTGGTTTCTTTTCTAGAATTTTCATAGTCAACTATCAATGATTTAAACCATCTGTACGTCGAATATCTATCGAATGCTCAAAACTAAATTTCAGAGTCTAACTTAATAGAAGAATTCTTTCAATAAACGTTTTCTTCTTGTTGGGTTTCTACGGTCGAATTTAAATAATTTCCAACACACATTCTACAAACACTTTCGAATGCATTCCACTCCCCTCTGTACCCTCTTTCCTTCTCTCTCTCTCTCTCTCTCTCTGTTTATTTCAGAAGAGTGATCTAATCACTTGATTTGATTAAGCGCAAGAATCACAAACGGTAAATGGTCACCAGCCCAGCCCCCCACCGTCTTTTTCTGTGTGATTTTTACTCTTCTACAGACATTATATAACGTCATTTCGGGGGGCATTAAAACTAATTATTTTTTGTTGTTGGCTGCGCTGACGTTGACGTTGACGTTAACGTCGCTGTCGACCGAATTACACGCACCAAAAAAAAAAAAACAGAAAAAAAGAGTCGAACCGAGAGGGGGATGGCAATACATCATTCCGAAGGTCGTTGGCGCAGTTTTTTTTGGGCAAATTAGAAACAAAAACAGCAACAAAAGTCGAAAGACACAACAACAACTAAACGACCAAAGCGGGTCGTGCACCTCCTCTCGCCTCTCCTCAGGAAAATTCAACACAAATTCAATTTGTTAAACATCGAATATTACCACTATTTCTCTTAATATTATTTGTTTTTGCTGCAGGTTGGGCTGTTGTGTTTTTGCTCGATTTTCTGATTAGTTTTTCATAATTTTCAAATTGCAAAATGCAGCAGCAGCAATAAAATGCAACAACAAAATTGCATGCGCACCAATACAAATGCAAAACGCGGGGCGGAGACGCGACGCGACCGCGCAGCACCAAATGGAAACAAACTGTAACGAAAGCACGGCATACGGCGCATGGGGACGACCGACGCCAAAGCGATTTGAGCCAGAGCCAGCGGCGCAGAGCAGAGTAAAGCTCACGAGAGAGAGAGAGAGAGAGAGCCAGACAGCGACAGAGTCAGAGAGCAGTGGGGAGCGAGAGCCGACGCCTCTAACGGGCTAAGGCAGTAGCATTGTAGGGTGTGGGGATACCCTCTAGTGCATCACAAGGAACAGCCTTTGGAACGACTTTTAGTAGATGGTTGGACAACTTCTATACAAAACAACAACTATGGTGGCTCAAATTCATAAGAAAACTAATTCTCAACAATAAGATCTCGCAAGCATAAACTCCTTCTCATATACATATGTATACAATGCGCATTTACACGATCAAATCACAGGCATTCCCTTACTATATACGATTACAGGGTGTAAAAACAGCAGCAGCTGACAAACAATAACAGAAAAACCTTTTGGCCCGAGAGAGTGAGAGAGAGATCAACAGAGAGAGAGAGCTTGTTTGCCGGATCTTGGCTCTCCACAACTCCAACAGCTGACGGGCGGGCGGGCACACACTGGCTGTTGTTTTTGTTGCTGGCCAAAGAGGGTCACACTACCAGAGAGAGCTTTCATTGAGCGTGAAAGTCTTTCGCTTGATCTCTCTCTCTCTCTGCGCAATAATAAATGCATTTTCGATTTGGTTTATTATTTAATAGGAGAGCGTGGGAGGGTGGGGGCTTTTGGGTGTTTGTCTGTCTGCTGCGTGCATTGAACTTGACATCAGCCGCTGAATGCAATTGTTTTGTTTTTTAATAATTGCGTGAAATTCGAGATTAATTGTGGGTTACGTTACCCTGTGGATCCCAAGTGCTGAGGTGTGAGAATGGCTAATGACCTTCCACCATCCACTTGCACTGAGTGGGGTGGGTGGGTGCGGTGTGGAAACTGGCTAAGCGGGGTGGAATGTGGGTCGAAAAAAGATGATGAAGGTGGGATTGCGTGTAAAAGTGGATTAAATATGGGACTGTTGTTGATTTTTGTTACATTTAATTGATATTTTTGGGTGTTAAGAGGCATGAGACATATTTGGTGTTCCCACAACCGAAGAGATTTCGGATCACAAGTGAATCATTTTATGTGGATCCCATTTTTAAACACTTTAGCCGCTTTTGACCTATTGTGTAAGGTAATACAGCCAGCAAAAGGAGAAATCCAGTGAAAAATGATCGTCAACCAAAGCCTTTTCTTTGCAAATGTTTTGTTAGCATTTCCCAACCATTTCAATGAAATACCTTACGTCCAAGCCCATCCCAAAACGCCCCCTTATAACCACTTTTGCATTATAAATCAAATATTTTTGTCTTCATTCAAACAAATTAATCAAAATGCAGACAAAAGCGGTACAAATAAATCGATAAAAATATAAAATAAATGACATTTGTGGGCGATGTTCGAAATGAATGCACTAAAACTTTCATTTTTCCGTTGGGAGACACAGAAAGAGACGCAAATAAAACAAGAGGAAAACTGGATCACGAGCGCAGCAAGATGTCGATCGTAGGGAGTGAGGAAATGAGTGACAAAAGGGGGGACAATCTCTTATACAATCAACAGCGTTAGAGTTCGATGAAACTCGGCTTACATTTGGTTGTTGTCAAGGCTGCAGTGTGGAACATAAGAGCCCATACACATCTTCCACAAGGTGTGAATGAGTTCTACTCCATAGTATAATTTATGTAGAAGAGAATTTTTAAAGCATGTTTCACAGTATTTAAATGTATTTACATACTGCCCACTTTGTAGGGATCTTAAAGATCCAATGACTCTTCTTTTAGACACATCTTTGAAAATCATTAAAACCAAAATTCAAGATCCACTTACCCTATCCATCAACTGCTCATCGTTTCTTTTGCGTCGCGCTGGCGCCCTTATAATGCGTCCCACATCTGGAGCGTCCATGGTGTTGCTGTGGAGTGGATGATGTTGTTGCTCGCTCTCACGCTCTTTCTCTCTCACGGCTCAGTGGAGACTCGAACCAGCGCGGTTCACTTATACGTCGGTTGTGGGCTGTGCTAAGTGGAGCTTTGAGCATTTAAAGCGGGAATCAAAGCTTCCGGTTATTGGAGATTCACAAATATCGGTGCATGCTCTACGGCTGGCGGCATTTGTTTCTTTTTCAAAAATGTTGGCAGTTATTTGCTTAAATTTGTATGGCAATTCTTTTTAATTCTGATATTTATTTTTGTGATGGAAGCAATTGTTGCAGGTTGGCTTTTAGCGGATAGAAACCTGTAAAAAACAGAGAAGAAAAACGTTTATAAGGAACCCATTTAAATTCATTGAAAGAGAAAACTATTCCTTAGAAAAGTTCCCTAAGAAGACTATAAACTTATTTCCTTTTATCAAGAAATTGAAAAATTCATTGAAAAGGGCCCATTGCCACCTTTTTTGCTCCGCCCCTTGGCCTTTCCCACGCTTTTCCACTTGTTAGTTCTTGGCCAATTTCCTCCGCTTCTGTCCTCACACTCAGCCCATCTCCTCCTTGTGGCTGCAACAAAGTTTTTCCGCCTCACGTTTTCCACCTTTTCCCATTCGCTGAATAAAATATGATTGAGGTTCAAGGCGACTGAAGGCTTTCAACGGCAACAATGTCAATTTGTTGTTGCCGGCCCCGCCTGAAGTGCTGCGCCTAACGGTTGTTTCAGTGTTGGTAAATTGATTTGAAGTGTGTCGAGTGCAGCTTATTAAATAGTCAAGAGGCAAGCGAAGCCGTGGGGCAGCAGCCATGGCAGTAAAGTTGTAGCAGCCGTGTAAAGCCAATCAATTTATAAGAGCGAGGATAAGTGGAAAAAGCTAAGAAAAAGTCAAGTTAAGCAAACATAAGCTTAAGTTTATAGCTGGAAAAAGTGTTGGAAAGCGTAGGAAAAAGATATACTAAATAAAATTGTATAGACACTGCAAAAGTATGGTAAGAAATACTTTTAAAATAGTTTCATCTTCTAAATTCCTTTTCCAGCACTGACATTTCTTTATTTGCTTTCAAATCTCACAGATCAAATGACATTCACATCCTTTAAGCAATTAGCAAAACTTTTCTAATCAATTGAATCAATATTTGACGACTAAAAGACTCTGCAACTTTTCTCAGGAGTAAAGTTCATTAAAATTGCAGGCAGGCAGGCAGGCAGGCAGGCAGGCAGGCAGGCAGAGGAAGGCCCCAAATGGCTTCCCATTGTTAGCCAAAGATGGCTCTGATGGGTGTCGGCCACGTTCCGATGACGTCTGACTAAATGAATCACTTTCTGCGACTGCAATTTGCACTTATTCATCCTCTGACCGGGAGACAATCGTGCCACCCGATTGATAAAGTATTGTGCCCTGAAATGATTCCAAATGATTTCATTCGGTCTCAAGTCTCAAGGCGAATGGGCTTTTATCTTTGTCGGGCAATAAATGTTAGTGGGTCGACTGCACAACCACCTATCCACCTATCCACCTATCCACGTTAATTAAACAACAAGAAACAAGGAAATACTCGTAATTAATGCGCAAAAAGGTAGCAGCAACAAAAACAATGACTAAGTGATTACAGATACAAAGCGAGCGACGAGACGCGACGCGACGCGACGAACGAAACCCTCAAAACCTCTGCTTCAATGAATCCAAAAAAGTGTGGCGCGGAAAAGCGTGGAAAAGCAGCGGGCAAAACTGCAGCAAGCAGCCAAACAAAAGAAGCAACGATAGACCCTCTGGAAAATGCAAGCCATGAAGTTGAAAATGTACTTCTTCTCCCTGTTTTTTGGGCTCTGATGCCGCGCCGATTGCTGCATTTTCCTTTGCATAATTTTCCACAGCTATCGGGGCAGGGGCGGGGCGAGGGCGGGGGCAGGGCATCATCAGGTGACTAAAAGTTGCGAAAAATCTTCAAAATTGCAGATGAAGTTTTCCCATTTTGAACGTGCCGTAGCTCGAAGAGGGTTTGGAGTTGGGAAAAAGGTACAGATGATGAGGGTTTCCTGAAACTTAAACGAAATTATTTCATTTTGCATGCTTTAATAAAGAAATATATGCAAATTGTGGGACTCGGAATGGTTGTGGAAAGACAAGGCTAAAGGTAATGGAATTTAAACAAATATCATGATTATAGAGTGGGATTTACTTGAACGAAATGAATAGATAATGGCCTTAATGGCGAAAGGTCGGAGGATTTTTATCTACTTTTATCTTTGTCTTTCGTTCAAAGCTTCTTCGTTAGATCTTTACGTTCTATATAGGAATAAAACTATAAAACGTTACCCCACTTTAAGTCAACAAAGTTATTTATACAATTTATGTAGATTGCAGCAATCAGATTTTCAATACACAAAAAAAAAAAAAAAACAGACATCACAGCCGAACGTCCACGAATTTATAATCCCAATCAGCACTAAATTGACAGTATTATCATTTTGTTAACTTGTTTAATTACCCCGTTTAGGGTTCGAGGCAGAAAAAATAAACAACCTATAAATAAATGTTGCCTTATTGGCATTCGAGCGAGTGAGTAATTTATCAACAAATTTATCAGCCGAGCAGAAGTCGACACCGTGGACTGATGGGATGAGGGGCAACGGCTAGGTTTGGGGCTTTGTCTGACTTTCTTTCTTCTGCAGAATTTGATCTTCACAGCAGTTTTTGAGGATCCTTTTATAAGGTAAACATGAGATGCATTACCATCACTTCAAGCTTTAAAGAGGAAATTAAGCCAGAAAGAATGAATATTCAACTGCTTATATTATATGTAAAAATTCTAGATAATAGGTAGAACTAAGGAAATATAAGGAATGATAAATAAATAGATTGAATGATAGATAGCGCCTTTCAAACATGGAGCTCTCAGAACCTCTGTCTCAGAGGCTCCACCATTGTATCACATATTAGATCATCATTCGAATTTCAGACCTTTAGCATTAGAGCCATGGATCTTCCAAAAGGAGTCTCCCCAGAACAAAGCTGCCTTCCATTCTTTTACTCACATCATAAATATTATTTCCCATCAAATTCGATTTTGTCTTTAATTTTCTGTGCAAAGTCAGACCTTAAATCGATTAGTACACTGGCTGACATAACCGTATTTCATATGCGGACATTGTTGAGTGATTTATGCGGTAGATATTTCATACAATTGGATTTTATTTTTGATTTTTATTTGCCATTTTGTCTATTGATTAGATTGCCAGCGAGACACACACGAGAGCACTCGTACACGTACTAGTGGGGATTTTTATCTCTTGACCATCTATACCCCTCTCTCTCTCTATCTATCCCTCCGTTGAGATACTCTTTCTCTGTCACTTTTTGCGGTTATTATTGTCAGGCTTTGAGAACAAGTTTTATTCCATCGCTTTGTGTTCTCGTGTCTGTGCCTCTCGTGTGAGTCAATTGACCCAAATTGTTGGCTCTGGCTCGGGCTCGGGCTCGGGCTCTTTTGTGCCTGGCCCGGCTCTCGGCTCTCGGGCAGCAGCAGCAGCCGCCTCTCTTGTTTGGGGCAGACGTGTCGTTTCTGCTGTTCTCAGCACGGACACCCCAGATACCCTGTACTCCTGGGGGGTCAAAGGTTGTGGGGTTCTATCTTAGGGCAAAGGCAGAAAGGCTCGAGGCTCGACTATCTAGTACCTAGGATATTTGTGCAGGGAGCACTTTTGCAATGGCTTGCTGCCTGTCTACGGAAATCTTACAGATGTACCTTTTCGTCTGCCTTTTCACTTTTCACTCTATTAAAATCTCATTTCACTTTAATTTTTAGCACACAAAAAGTTCTTTCTCTTTCCAGAGGGTATCCAAGCGTCGTTCCACTCACTTGCACACTCACTTTTTCTGTTAGTTTCTTGTTCTTTTCTTTTTAGTGGGTCGTCTTAAAACGAAAGGCAGTTGAACTCTGTCAAAATGATCATCCGAAAGAGCTGTGGAGCTGTGGGGCTGTGGAGCTAATGATGGAGGTCCGATGATGCTGCGTCGCACGCGCTTTTTGCAAATCTCTCTCTTATCTGCTTTGATACGATCTGAGAGGGGGTTATCTTAATTTTGGAGACTAATGAATGCTTAATTTTGACTTGAGAAATCTGTCCATACCTCTGTCTCTCACAGCTCAAAGTGCACTGAAAAAGAGTCGATACTTCTGTCTGGTTTGACTTCTGTTCGAATAATCTTCTGCCTCAAAAGGGTACTCATGATTTCCTTTTGCCATTTCAAAGTATATATTTTTCGTCTAAATTTGGCCAATCTTTAACGATTCAAGAGTAAAGACCTCCCTCCATGCTCCACTGAATGCTCAGCCAGCGGAGATTCAATATGGATTCTAAGCGTTTCTCGGGGATTGAACCATTAAATACAGTTTATGGCTGGGGTAACCATCGCATACCTAGACCCCAGACCTCAAGGCCACTCTGTGGCAGCCTCTCCGTTGGTCACAGCATTACATTATCTCCGTGCTTCTCCTAAACATTTTATGGATCATTTAGCAAATGACGAGAGGAACAGCAGAGGAAAATACCAGCAAAAATCAAGCATCGTGAAAAATATTGCAAGCTTTAGTTCATTTTTATGGTATTCGTATTTTGTTGGGGGGCCTTTGACTCTTTACGTGCGAAATGAGTTCAACGAATTTCTGTGTCAACAGTTTGCAAAGTTTTTTCTTTTTTATTTTTAGTGCTGACTCGATTTTTAGGTGGCAGCCAGGCAGGCGGGCGGGCAATCGATGAACCCAAAGATGCAACTCAATCAAGTGGAACGAATATTTCTCTTTCGAAAATTATCTAAGAAGCAACAGGACAGCCACCAAAATAATTGCTCTTAACGCTCCAAGGCATCGCCTTAATGAGTTTTTGCTGCAAATAGGCCATAAATTATTAATCCTATGGGTAGGTGGTAGGTGTAATGGCACTCTGCTGCAGGAAATTCGAAATGGCAAATACTTTTTTGGCTAATTTTTAACGTTAATGGGTAAGGAACAAGAAAATAAGTAAAATTCTTGTTAAGGTAATTGAAGGCTGTACGATTTGGTTTAAGTATGATGAATAATTAAGAATAATAACGAAAAAGGGAAACAAAGAAAATATGGTAATGGACAACTGAACACTGGATCAAATTTACTAAATTGCAAAGGCATAAAACGGATCCTTTTAATACTAAAAGAGTATCAAAAGAAAATCTAGAGAAATATACAATACAAAGAGAAAAGGACTGACGCATTGACTTTCAATGAATCTTAAACTTGTCTAAAAATTTCCACCAGAAAAACAAAGGTAGATCC